GCGTTATATCCGAAGGGATTATCGCAAAAATTACTCCCCAGGGGCCCTCGTCTGGCCTGCTCCTCGTTTAAAAGTACGGTGTCTTTTGAGTCAGTGGCATTAGCTATATACTTGGCCACGGATCTGTCGAGGGACCGGCCTCGCGGCTGCGCGCTCGTGACGGTAGTAGTAAATACCACCTAGACTACACCGCAAATCCCTAACAAACAAGTAATTTTGCACAATTGGGAGTGTAGTTCTAGTCCTAGTTGTCACTCTGATTTATGATTGTAGAATGTACCATAATCAATAAGCTGAGAGAATTAGAGAATTTGATATTTTCTGATTATTCGCATCCCCACCGAAAAAATACAGTATTCCTGAACACGTTAGGACTAATTCTTCACTAAGCTAATGCGCGAAAGGCAACAACCGTTTTGAAAACGGCAGTGCGCTAAGAATTCAATGCAAGAGCCGTCAATCAATAAAATCAAAAAAGCAAGAAACATAGGTAATACAGTACTTCATATTTTTCAATGAATTCTACTTTTCTGAGCCGTTGTTCAGCGTATGTACACATCGATCTGTTTTCACTTAAAACAATATCAGAAAACTGCTCAAACTCAAAACCGTACAACTTCAGCATTGCGCACCAAAACAGACATGTGCTACGTTTATACCTGAGTTGCCACATAAATATTTTGGGTAGACATCATGGGCTGCCACATAATTATTTGGGTGAAATACTGCTTTGCCTCATGAATATTTTCGACTTCTAATGGGAACGCAGATAATCGGAAAATAGCGTTATGAGCGTACGAGTTCGTAATGGATTAAATGCAGAATCCATGATAGTTTGATAAATTTTATTTTCCAAAAAGAAACAGTATTCTGGAACTTTTCACAAAAATGCTTGTGCAGCTTTTCTCAGAATGTTAGAGTACAAACAGTAGTTACCACTTCAAACTACTAAGAATGTTAAAAACAGCGGAATGAAAGCGCATTTAAAGAGCGAAGCTCGCAAGGAGATCTCTCAGTACTCCGAACTAAATTCTGAACTAAAAAGTGAGAAATGGATTGGATTATTCAATTATGGCAAAGCACACGAGGGCTATCTGCCTAAAGGGAGCGATGCCTTCGTAGAGAATTTTCTAAGGGAAACTGGCTTGTATACACGTTACACATGAGGAAAACCACGAAAACGCCTATGCAGCCAGTCCGTTTGCGGAATTCGAACCTCAGACCGAACTACGAATGTTCAGCGTCTTTACTGCTCGGCCGCTGGTGTGCCAAGTGAGAAATGATACTCTTTCCGGTATTACGTAGTTTTCCTCCGGCCGCCAAGATATTTCCAGTAGTTTAGATTTCTCGAAATTGCTAGAAGGCATATACGGTTACAGCTACATATAGAGCCGGGCATATTTAGACTTTCATACAGAGATCGGAAAAAAATTTCGCGAAATGGTGAGCAAGCTTGGCGACTTTTGATGATTTCTTACCAAATGTGGCGATAAAAATAGTCGCCAAAACTATCGCCAGCTTCGCGCTTGGCGAGGTAGCCATTTACCTCAGTGTTAAAAAACCTACCCTTGTAATCTTTTTCCGACCAAAATTGCAATAGACCAGTAAGAAAGAGGTAACTTTTGTGTCCAGTCCAGTTGATTTTTGGAAACTATCAGCGAGAAGTTATTAACGATGGCTCGATTAAACCTCTCTACCATGCCGTATGCCTGTCTTCTTGTTTATGTAGAGTATCGTGGAGAGTTTTTTAATTACAGACGAGATGAAATTTATTCCTTGATTGAAATGCAAATGAAGAGGCATTCCAGACCTGGAAATTCAGTGCTGTATGATATCTGTGCTGTATGCTATCGTGAAGGCTTGTGATCAGGAATAGGATACGTTTCAGGCTACAATGACAGCGAGAATGTATTTATTGCCATCAGCAGATCGGGACAGAGTTCCTAGGAGGTCAAAGTAAAAGCAGTCTTTTCTCGGTGATCAGGGTGCCCATCTTTGAACCAAGCGTCGAAAACAGTGTTCAGAATTTCGTCCGTTCTAGGAATAGGGTAGCTGTCTTTCTTCGTAATGTAGTTCAACCGGCGATAGTCAACGCAAAATCTAGTTGAACCGACTTTCTTTCTGACCGAGACGATGGGAGAAGCCCAAAAATTTGCTGAAAGCTCGATGACATCGGTTTCTTGCATGTCCTTTAGAAGTGTTCCTACCTTTTGTTTCTTTAGTAATCGGTGGACGTCTTGGAAGTTTCTTGAGTGGTAGATGATCCTCCATATCAATTCTCTGCTGTGCCAATTTGGTTGGACCTATGTCAGATGACGTGCAGGTGAAATCATCTTGAAATTCTTTATCGACAGTTCTGCAGCTCCCCTCTCTTCGTCGTTTACTGGTGTATTCTGCAATAACTCTGATATTAGGCTCTTCGAAGACAGAAAGACTGAAAGACTACTGGTTCGTTTAACGCAGGTGACTGGAGTGCATGCGGCAACTACTTCACCTTTCTTAATAACTCTTGCTTTGTCAGTTACATTGGAAACTCCCACCGGGATAACGCTCCTCCCTACATCGACAAGTGCTGAGACTACTAGTACTCTTTTCGGGCTGCTTCAGTTCTTGGAATATTCCATTATGCCGTACCGCAAATTTCTGTTTTCAGTTTTGGATCCTGGAAGTAAAAATTCTATTCTTGCTGATATTGTTTTGAGCTATTATTTGGTGAACAGATTTAGCGCTTTCATCTTTAATTGCAGAAAGGGTTGTGTCCACAAAGGCAGAATGCAGTTCGTTATTTTTGAAGTGCAAAGAAAAATTGTATTTCCTTAGAAAGTCTAATTGAATATGCGAGGATCTGTAATGTTTGCCGCATATGCCATGTGGTGATAGGCGGAAATCCCAAACGTGATGTTAACGTTTAACGTTGTATCGATATCGATTTTATCACCGGACACAGTCTGGAAGGTAACGCATTGCAGCGTTTAGATAGTCTACCATCCAACTGTTGAGCCTAAAATCTTTTCGGATGATGGTAATATTAGCTTCTGTATGTATGGCCATATTGTAAGGAACTCCGTTTATATGACCTATGATGAAGAGTTCTTGATTGCCCCACTCATTGGAAAAATATGAAGCTCTCTAAAATGGGCTTCTCAATATCTGCCAACCTCCGTCCCGCGAAATGGCCACTAATTAGTTTTTCTTTTCTTTTTGAGAATGGTCTTCGCTCAGGTGCATTGGGATGTTCTGCAGATCCTGTGACACATGACCTTCACCACTGTAATTCCAACAATTTACCATCGGTTTATTGCCTGTCCTATTATTCAAGGCATTGACTTGCCAGGTTAAATCATCTAGAGGACCAGTCATTTGTTTCTACTGGCTCCTGACTATAAGCTGCTCTGACATGGTTGCGGTCTCTACGAGTTCCTTGCTAGGCTGACTCGAACTTTATGGTGTACATTAAAGCGCGCATTTTAGATCCTCGAGTTCTACCATTCGATGTGCTTTCTGTATCTCATGATCCCGTATGCTATCGATGAAGAGGATTTCCCTTGTTGCTTCCTGCGGGGAGAAGATTTCCCTTGTTTCCATTAGGAAGTCCGAAAAGGCGAGATGAGATCGTCTTTCAACATCTGTGGCGAGCTTCTGGAGTGTTTCCTTGGGCTTCTGTTTGCTAAGTTGGGACCTGCTACATTCGTTTAAACACGTCTCGTCGAAGCTCAGTTCCAACGTGCCGGATAGAGCTTCGAAGTCAAACTTTTGATTTTCGGACAGAGTTTGAAAGATATCCGAAAGATGTCTGCTCTCACAGAAGCGGCGAGATAGCTGGTTTTGGCTTGGAAATTCCATCCGTCTTTATACACTTCCCATCATATGAGGATAGCTTAAAAGGAGTATAGAAGATATAGTTAGGAATTTAAAGGAGTCAGATTTGTTTCCAACGGTAACAGTGGATTTCTTCAATCTGTCAGTGCCACTGTAATTTTATATTTGCAGCGGGGCTTCCCATTTCCCGGCATCTCATGTTACATTACTCAAGAGCTATTGCAGTTTTATGTATAATTTTAATAAAATTAGTTACCGATATACAAAATTCGTAAAATACATGTAGCTGAAGTGTGGTGTCTAGTTCTACACTTACTGTTACGGATTTTGTATATATTTAAATAACTTTAATGAAATTATACATAAATTGTAATATTATTTTTTGTATAACGTAACATAAAAGGCTTGAAAGAAGCGATGCTTTGCCTGAAAAATAAGATTACGAGGGCAAGTCTATTTAATATTGAGTAAATGGCTATCTCGCTAAATTGGCCAGATATTGCCAAGCTGGCAGTGGTTTTGGCGACTAATTTTCGTCGTCAAATTTGACGAAAAATGACCCAAAGTAACCAAATTTGACGACATTTCGATCCAGTCCCTGTATAACTAACTATAATTGGTGCTGTAACTGATTAACTAATTGATCCCTATGTGTGTAATATAATTGGTATTGTAATTGAATAACTGTAACTGATCATGAATGTAACTGTATCCTGCCGTCGTATGCCTTCCAATAATTTTGGGTGAAGTGGAAGGTACAGGAGATGTCTACCCGCAGAGATAAAACTACATATATACGCGCGGATAGAGCATCATTTCTTAGTCGTTAGTTCAGAGCGATTTTAGAGTAATGAGATATCCGTAAAAGTTTCGCCTTTTAGTTGCGTTTCGCATTGCTTTGTAATTAACGTTCTTAGTAGTTTGGAGTGTAACTATTAATTGAACTTTATGATACCGAGAAGAGCTGTATACGAGAGCTTTTGTGAAAAGTTCCAGAACTGCTATGTTTTTCTTTTGGTAAAAATAAGTTTTATTAAGCTATCACTGGTTGCCTGTGTATTCAATATATTACGAACCGTAGGCACGCAGTAATGCTATATAAATTATTGTTTTGTGGCAGTAAAGAACTTAATAGTAACTTTTTACATAGTTTTAGTTTTAAAACATTTAAAGTAGATTAATTTATAAAAATTTAATTGAGGTTGTTAATATTATTTTATATTTCAGATCTTAGATGGTGAAGTTATAACTAGCATGAGAACTGCTGCTGCATCAGCAGTAGCTACCAAGGTAAAGAGACAAGAGTTAATTTATTGAATAACCTCAAGCAAACTGTATATAGGTTTACAATTTTTTTATCCTTTTAATTAGCACAGCTGCATTTATCCAATCATAAGATAATGTTATCACTTGTTATATATTACATTAATGTTACAAGTTACTTTATCATTTAAAATATTTAGTTTTCTTAGCTACTTTAGCAATTAACTCTCATCCTAATGAATGAAAGATTTTGAATACAAAGCGTAAAATAAAAAACTGTATAAGTCTAGTGAATAAATGGCATTAAAGCATAGCTTTGAATCCACAAACTTAAAGTTTTAGGAAATTTAAGCACTTTAAATTAGTAAAAATATGAACATTTATTTCTAAAGGCAGCTTAATAAAAATAATAACACTTATTTTACAATTCAGCTAGAAATTATTTGAAGACTTAAATATATATATATATATATATATATATATATAATATATATGAGTGTGTGTGCCCAGCAGTGAATCTCAAAATGGTCTATCATTTTTGACATCTTACAGTGAATGCTCATATGCAAATATGTGAATGGACATATGATGTTCATTAATATACCCAGTTGATATCGTTCAGTATAATGCATCAGAATAACTTCTTATATACAAGTTTCCACTGACTTCTAGAGTAAACATTCTGTGTAAACTCAGAATCACGATGCATAGAACATTGCTAAAATCCTTGTTCAGCACAGTCAAAGACCTTGACAGAGTTTCTTTAACGGTTACAGCCAAAAATATCGCGGAAAAAATGTCGTGGTACATAACATCGTGGGAGAAAACATCACAATTCTAAACTATCGTATTACAAAATATAGTGGTCGAAAATAAAGCGGTTCAAAAACTTCGCAGTTTAAAAACATCGTCATCGAAAATATCGTGGTGAAAAAAATAAAGTACCTACAAATCATCGCATGCTGATAATATCACATACATGCGTTTTTCAAATCGCATAGTGACATATTATGTAACTGAGCTTCGTCATAACTAACAAATCGACCTCCAAAAAATTTATTGCACGTCATACATGAAAATGTTAACGACACTTTAAGAATAAACAGAAACAAAACAATATGTAATTTTCATTGAAACAATATCAGATTAATAAATGTGAAAGAAAATAATTTGATCATTATTAACTAAGCAATTTTTATAGAGGTAACCTCATGCGGTTATTTATCTTCCTTTTTCTAAGCATTTTTAGACTGTGTTTTTCATGAAAAATTATCAGTTAAACTGTATAAAAAAAGCTTAATTTATTAATGACCTTTGTTAATTAAGTATATAAATTTAAAATTCTATTAGGCTTATAGAGACATTAGGTTATTTCGAAGCAGGGGAAATGAAAAAGGAGCAATTTCCTCGCCGGGACTCGAACCATTGACTTCTCGATTTCGCGTTGAGCGTGCTGACCATTACACTACGAAGGCATCCTAAGAAGGCGGGAGAAATACCTTATATACTCCCCCTTTTAAAGGGCGAGTGGTATTTAGGAGACCCAATCGCCAAATCCTGATGGTGAAGAATCTTCATTCACCACCTTTTAGTTCGGGCGCCAATGTAGACGCATTAGGTTATTTCGAAGCAAGAGATGAAAAATGAGCAATTTTGTCCCCGGGACTCGAACCACGGACCTCTCGAATTAGCATCGAGCGCGCTGACCACTACACCACGAAGGCATGCTAAGAAGGCGGGAGAAATATCTTATAAGCTTTTCAAGTTGCATTAATTTTCTACTCATTTTCAATTTTTAAAGGCTTAAGTTTTCTTCTTATTTTTTCAGCAAAAATTTATTAGCTCATTCAAATATATGAAATATAGAAACAAAAGAATCCCTCTTTCCTTCTTGCGCTCTATTATCTTTATACGAACATGCATTTACAACTTTCAAAACCTGAAAATGCATGTGTGCAATGTTATCGTCATGCGATGATTTTGTATATACTTTATTTTTTTATCACGATATTTTTGACGACGATTTTTTTGAACTGCGAAGTTTTTGATCCGCTTTATTTTCGACCACGATATCTTGCACCACAATGTTTTAGAACGGCGATGTTTTCCTCGCGACGTTTTCTCCTTGCGTTGTTTTCGGCGGACACCCTCTTTAATAAACCTAGATCGCAAATACCCATCTTCAGAAGTAACTGTATAAATTCCGCTGCAAATTTTAATATCCTATAGAGATTTTTTGCTAGGCCTAGCGACAATAGAATGCTTCACCAATTGAGTACAAATGCTAATAGTCATATAACAGGCGCTACAGCAATTCAGCTGATGGTAAGTAAGTGAATGTTCATACTTTAGGATTCAAAATTACAACTATTACAACTAATGTCATGATCGTGTTCAAGTTAAGTCACTGTCCGCTGATATTGTAGCTTCGCAAGATTAAAAAAAAAAATCAATTATGAAATGTTCACTATTATGTTTGATACAATTTTTATTTTACTTTTTTACTTTTATTTATTTATTTTTTTATTATTTTTATTGGTGTATTCAATATACCACGAGTAAAGAGCATGAACAAAAAGCTTCATTGAAAAAAAGTAAATGACTGAATGTGATATTTTTATTGCAGTATCTAGCATCAAAAGAATCAAAACATCTAGCAATATTAGGAGCTGGAACTCAAGCCCGCAGTCATTATCAGGCTTTATGCCACATTTATAATTTTGAAAAGGTACATAAATTATTCCTATTTAAATATTTTTAAAGATCAGTTAGTAAATAAATTAATAGTAGCTGATCAAATTTGAAACAAGTCAGGATATAATTATAAGACTTCTGTTTGTTGATAATGCAGCTATAATTTCCATTCCTATTTCTTACTGTGAATATGCATGTGAAATTAGAAATAAGCATTTTGGAAACGTATATTTTCCTATAAAAAACCGTGATCATAAATAATATACACCATGACAACTTTTTGAATTTCACTTTATTTTCAAATTAAACAAACAGAGAAAATAATTCTGAAAAATTAAATAATCTTTAAAAAATTACATTAAGAGTAAGTTCAATGGTAGATACAGTAGAATGATGCTAAGTAAAGTATGCTACTGTTGCTGCTAAGTAAAATCATATTAAAAGATTGAAAATTGTTATTTAGGAAATCTGTTTTCATAATGTGATATAATACATTATTTTTTACAATACCAGTTACATTTTCAAAATTCATTTTGTATTTCATAAGAGTTTCCATGCAATTAATCGCATTTTACTGCATAATATTATAATTAAAATTTGCCTATATATTAGAAAAATAGCCAATCATTCCTTAATAGACTGTTTTAAATATCTCCACAAGAAATACTCTGAAAATGAGAGATCTGGTGATAAAAGGCAAAAGCTTGTAACACATAGAAATGTGCTAAATAAATCTCTCTCTCGCTTTTTTTTTTTTTTTTTTTTTTTTTTTTTTTTATAAAAAACTGACACTGTAATGTTTAAATTCGAAGCATACGCGGAATAAAGTTTTTAATTCTGGCACTCAGCCAAATTATTTCTAGGGGGGGGGACTGTATGTAAAATCGTTCAGTATAGCATATATTACACAGTTATTTTCTAAATCTGGAGTTCGGGCCCTTTAAAATTAAGTTTGGTACTATTCAGTTTCGAGGGCCGTAAAAAATCGCCAAACTATTGTTGATGCCAATGCTGCCAAAAATAATTGCGGCAACCCTAATAATTGCGGCAAGAAAGGAAGTATAATAGTAATATCTAATTGATGTTTTAATTTATATGAAAGTTCATTTCATATAATATTTTTTTATTATTATAATTTAATGAAAAGCTAACATGACTGAGGAAGCATAAGAGTAATAACTATTTCGATCATTATTATAATTATAAAAATTCTAAAATATGAATGAATGCCTGCACGCTATTTCGCTACCGACTACGCTAAGTAATTTCATCACGTTGGTTGTTCAACGTATTTTCATAATGATGATGCCTTTTCTTGAAATTTCTCGTAAAGTGCGATCGCTCACGATTTGTTGCCGTTTTTTACAAGGTAAAACATTGAATTTTGTCAATTTTCTTTACTTTTTAAGTGAATGGTCGATGTGCACATGATCCGAGTATGCATTCTAAACGCGTCAGCAGTGGGTGTTCTTCCTTTACCCAAATTCTATTGCGACTTTTCGCATTGCATTCCCAATTGTTAATTCATGGATATCAAAAGATTTAAAATCAAAAAGGATTTAAAAATTAACAGTATGTCAATGGCGTCTTAAGAAATATAGAACTATATAAACTGACGCAAACTGAAATCAACGCGTACGCTAGATTTGGCGCTTTTGCGCATACATTTTCGCTGCAATTTTTTATGGCCCTCAAAACCGAATAGTACCTTAAGTTTTTATGATCATCAAAGTCATTCTTTTAAAAGTTCGATTTTTTTTTATCATCAAGATTTCTAAGCAAAATAATTATATCCAGCATCAATCCATTTATTTTGCTTTTGCCTATTTTGTATTATATATTAAAATTTGAGCAATATTTGTGAAATTCTATGGAAATAAGGGGAAGACAAAGTGATGATCAATTATAATCACTGAGACCAAAGAAGCATGTAGTCGTAAAACAAGAAAAATCATACTGATGGAAATCATGTGGTTGTAAAGGAATTTTCTTCTTAAAATCAGAGAGCATATCTATATTAAATATCAATTATTTGCAATAACATGTGTATTTTTATTATTTTAGATATTTATTTGGAATATTAATGCTGAAAATGCTATAAAGCTTAGAGATGAGATACAAGATACTGGAAAACAATGTATTGCTTGTCACACTGTTAAAGATGCTGTTGAAACTGCAGATATCATTGTTACTGCAACCATGGCACAAAAGCCTATATTAAAAAAGGAATGGGTCAAAATGGGAGCACATATAAATGGTAAATCATTTTAAACTATTGCCACTGACTATATATATATAGTTTCAAAAGAATAAATTCATTGAATACAAATTTAATTAATTCATTACGCCATTGTTCCAAGGAATGTTAGGTTAGGTTATTTAATTACGGCAAAGCCTCAAGGGCT